CCTGCTGCTCAACAGGAACCATATTAAATTGAGTTACATATCTCAGGGACCTGCTTTGAAACACATGGATTATTTATCATGTTATACTGTTAAAAGAACTTGTGAACTTCACCAACAAAAGAGAAAGTCTGCACATGTTTTTTACCTCATTTTTATACCCCAATGCCTGTCAACTTTCCAAACACTTGCACCAGGCAGGCTGTTCAATTTATTCCTTGGTCACAAAATCATTTTCACACTTTATCTTCCCAAAATTATCTTGTCCCTTCTCTTCACTAAGCAGAAATACATCCTGATCTCAGCCTAATCAGGTTTTTCTCAGGTCCTACTGATGGCTTCTCTGCTGGATGTTCCTCAACCCCATCTCTACTTCCAAGGTTTATTACTGGGACCCTGAAGGTGGTGGCATCTATTTGAGATGAAATGCCAATGACCAGTTTCAGCTCAATTTGAGGAAATAAAATAAAAAAAAATAAGATAAATTATTGTTGAAAGAGGAAAAGAGAAATAAAAAATAAAAATAAACAAACTAAGGTGGACAACCCTACAATGGCCCCATGATCCTTGTCTCCTGGTGGTCACACCTGCCTTTGTGCAATACTTTCCCCTTGAGCGTGGGAGGGAGCTATGCCTTGCTTCTAACCAATAGAATACACCAAAGATGACAGGACATACATGATTACATGTATGCAATTACATTACATAAGACAATAATGTATATCCTGCAAGGATATGCCCTCCCTTGCTGGCTTTGATGAAAGTAAGTAGCAATGCTGGCACATGTGGCAAGGAACTGAGGGTAGCTTCCAGGTAACAGCCAACAAGAACTGGTGACCTCAGTCAACAGGTCACAAAAAACTGAATGCTGCCAACAACCACATAAGCTTGGAAGCAAAACCTTCCCTAGTAGAGGCTCAGATGAGATTGCAATATCTTGACCACACCCTTGTAAGAATCACAAAGGAGTCTGCCAAGCTGTGCCCAACTGCTGACACGTAGAAACTATGAGATAGTAAATGTGTGTTGTTTTAAATCATAACATTTGTGGTAATATTGCTACGCAGCAATAGATGACTACACAAACAACTGAGAATGAGAAAAGCAGCCCCTGACATCTGAGAGCTATCCTGGTACTGCTATCAGCAAGGCCTTGATGTTCCTGTGAGCTGGCCTGCACTCAAAACCAAGCCTTGGTGTTAAACATACACAATATCAAAGAACACTGATACTAAATAAGGCCACTCTATGACTGTAAGCAAGGATCAAGATAAAACAGGACCACTCTGCAATCATGTCTGAACATGGACAAAAATATAAACATTGTCCAAATCACAAAAATGGCCAAATGCCCTCTAAACTGGCTATCATGCACACACAGCTTTAAACTTGATTCATTCCTTCCATGTCTTAGAGATAAGATTTATTTAGATACTCATTCACAGGCTACTACTCCTTACAGCATACAACAGAGCAAAGCCCCACTGCCTTGAACCCTCCCCAAAATCACCTAACACAAGTCCAAATCTATATGAAGACTGAAATCTATGCTAACACCCTGTTACTGAGACGCTCCACAATTCCCACTGGTATGTGTTCTCCCTCCCTACAACCAGCAATACACCCAACTTGTTCAACTACAGTGTATTCCTGGCTGAACACAACTAGACCTCTGGCTGTGGGTCACTGACAAAACAATAACAAGCAAATAAATCAAACAAATAAGAACAAAACACTAAACATGACTTTATCATGGAACTTGCATAAAAAAAGAAGCATAAACCAATAAAACAAGAGTCCATATACAGTTTAAATTAGACATAAAACACAAAAAGTTGTGTCTCGAAATGAGTATAAAGAAATTATTTGATAAACAGTATTAGGATAAATGAATAGGAAAAGAAAAACTAGGATATATACTTCAGACTAAATAAAAATGAACTCTATATAGGTTAAAGAATTAAACATAATAAGAGATTAGCTGAAATGTAATGGACTACTTTATCAGAGCCATGGGAAAAACAATCAACCTCTTATTTGGAAAGAAGAACAAAAAAAAACATTGACCAATTTAGGTACAAATTCCTCACATATAATGGAAAACAATACAAAAGTAAAATACAGTGCCTGAGAAATACTTGTATCATAGTGACAAAATATTTAAATCTAGAATAGAGGCTTTATTCAAATTTACAAGGAAAACAGCACATGAGTACAGTCTATTAACAGACAATTCACAGGAGAAAATAGAGTAAACAAACAGTCCTATACTCAAACCCAGAACTTATTAGCTATATACTGGATAAGTTACTGGGAAGCTCCCTGCATCACGGATAGCATTTTATATAGTTACAACTTATTTGTAAAGCAACACAGAGGAGTCATAACCTAATCCCCCAACTCCTGGAAACCTTTCAGCAGAAACTGTCTGCTCAGATTTCACAACAATATTGTCTGCAATGACAAATAGAAACAACTTAAAAGTGTAAGAAGGGTAAATTTTAAATGAATTGTGCTGTATTAACATGTAGATTATATAGTTATTAAAATAAATAGAAAGGCTAGAAAGATGGAAAGCGTTTAGGATGTGACGTGACCAAAATAGTGCAGATTATAAAAATGAAAATAAAGGCTATCATTAACTGAAGAGCTCTAATGTGCCAGGCACTGTTCAAGGCATTTTGGTTACATCGCATTTAATCTTCACAACACTTGCTAGAACAGTAATATTATTCTCATTTTATAAATGAAGATACTAGGGTAACGAGATTTTAAATAACTGGCCAGCATCACATAGCTGGGAAATAGAGAAGACATGTGAACCACGATATGAGTCCAAATACTACGTTTTTAACCACTGCACTATCCTACCTCTTTTAGACACGCATGATGATTGCAACCATGCACAACTATGGGTATCTGGGGACAAAAACTGCAAGAGAATATGCAAATGTAAAATAACAGTGATATGAGAAAAGAATTAAAGGCAATTTAATTTTATAAACCATCAGCTATAATGCTATATGATCTACTTAAAGAAAACAATGCAGACAATCAAGCAATGAACTCTCAACCTTCCCCAATTATCCATGAGAAGTTTAACTATAGCCATACCTCTGTATATGTGGGGGATTGGTTCCAGGACCACCTGCATACACCAAAATCTGCACATACTGAAGTCCAGCAGTTGGCCCTAAAGAACTCACACGTAAGAAAAGCCAGCCTTCCAGATACGTGGGTTTTGTTTGCATCCTGCAAATACTATAGTTTCCATACACATTTGGTTGGAAAAAACCCATGTATATGTGGATGTGTTGTTCAAAGGTCAACTGTATATATTTAATATGTCCTTGGAAAGAGACTTGGCTTTGTCTCCGTCCAAAATTTCTCCTAATTTCATTCTTTTCTAGAAAAATGGAATGGAAGTAAAGAACAGACCAAGATAAATACCAGAACGCAGAATGCAGCCTTCAGAGCTGGGTAGAGATCACTGGTCAAGGGTGACAAAGAAAAAGCTCAGGACATAAAGAGACAGAGACCCAGAAGGAGACATGCAAAAGGGCTCCTAGGCAGGGAGAGGGCTGGGGACAAGAGGTGTACCTCCACCCAAAGGAGGGTCTGCCTGCCTGCTTTCCCTCTTATAATAATCGGAGAGCCTATCTGCTCACAGTAGACAAGTCTGAAGATAAAAATCAAAAGTCCCTGTAGAAAGAGCAGTGGATGCCCTATCTGGCTATCTTCTTTTCTAAAATACAGGATTCAGCAACGCTACGTGGCAACATAAGCGTGGGTATAAACTCACAGTCTTGCCATTCAGGTGTGTGTGCTGATAGTAAAACAATACACTTTCTTCTTGGGAGAAGTATTCATCATTTCTTCCACAACTATACCTTCAATTCTTTTGAGTTTATTCATACTTTTAGGATAACCAAAATTCTCTCTGGTCAAACCTCAGATGACACTTTGACCAGAAGTGTCATCTTTCTTAGGTTACATCGCATTTAATCTTAGGTGGTAAACGGAAAGAGAGGGCACTCAGTTGGACTAGAAAGCCCACGTGAAGAAGCATTTACTGGGGAGGGGGATTGGTGTTGAGGGAATCCCATCCTGGGCATTCCAAGCTCTTCTACTCAGTGTCTTGCTCAGAAGGCCCCTCACTTGGCAGGAGATGATTCCTTGCTGTGTTTAGGGCAGATCGTATCCCCAGATTACAGGCAATACTCTTTCTCTGACTATACCACCTGTGCAATCTCTTCAGAAGAATATTGCAGAGGGTTGGGGCAGAGCTAATTTGTCATCAAGCCTTCTGAGATGAGAAAAGCAAAGCTCAGAGCTTCAACAGACATCAACATTTTAAGGGGGCAGACTGAGTATGGCTGGGGAAGGAGGGATGTGCAACAGTGCTCTGTAAATCTGATTTTACTGATACTACATCTCAGCCAGACTGGAATCAGTTATGTGCAAAATGATTAATCACTGTCTCCCTGAAATATTCAAGGTCCTCCTGCCTATCCTTAGGATGAGGAAAAAAGCTAACACTGAAATATGACTTTTAGGCTTTTCTTCATTCTATACCCTTTTAATAAAGTAGGACAAAAAATCTTGCCTTGGGTTTGGCTGAGTTATGGGGTTTATCTCCTAAGTGGCAAATCTTCATTCCTCAGCCCAATCACCAAACTGAGCCCAAGTTGTAAGAAGCCTGATGGGAAGGAAAAATGCTTGTTCCATACCTAAGGCATCAATTTATCAAACGTGATAACTGCTCTGTGAAACAGGTTTTCCCTTTACATTTATAGAAAAGTGGGCACTGCAGAACAAAATTAATTTAGCTAACAGGCAAGTGCCGATGGCTGTGTGGGGTAGAGCCCGCTGTATGTTTTTGACAAACACGGCTGATGAGCTACAAAGGGACCACATGGCTGCCGGGAGACGGGGGAGGAAAGTGGGAGAGCAAAGCCTTGGGGCGTTATCTGAGGCACAGACTCCAGCTGGCCCCCACCTACCTTCTCTGCATACTCGGACACAATCTGCTTGATCTCGGCAGAGCAGAGTCCCACGATCTGGCCCACGGAGCTTGCGGTGAGACGGCTCTGCAGTCACATGGAGGAAGGGCTCTCAAGGCCATGCCTTGTCTTTCACAGCACTAGAAAATCTGAATACTCTGAATATTGTCATAAAATAGGTAACTTTCCCAGGGGAAAAAAAATTGGCTTTGCCCACATATATATCTACAGGGAAGGGAGAAAATAAGTCTCAGGATGAATATTCAGCCACCTCTCTACCTCTTGAGTCACTGAGCTGACTGTGCTAGATTCTCCTTGGCCCTGCGTGCCCCTGGAAAATGGTTCTTCACTTCTATGCCCCATTCCCAGGTCTCTCCTCCTGAGGGTCACTAAACAGAGCCTGTGGGGACTTGGCAGGCCTAGGAGTCAGGGAAGAGAAAAGAGCAAACAGAGAGGACAAGAAGTCTCAGAACCCCTAAAATGTCTCTTTACTGCCAGAGGCCTTTCCTGGCCTCAAAAGCAATGATTCCTTCAAAGCATTTGGCTAACCTTCCAGACAGACTTTGAGCTCTGGGAAGACCAACTATAAACTCGGAATTCCATTTCCTACCTAGACGGTGTCACAAGGAAGCAGAAGACAAGGCTCCTTTGCATGGGGCATAACTTGTGGTTATGGTGAGGCAGAGCTGGCCCCTCCTCTTCTGCAGAGGCCCTGTGAGCTGTCCAGCAGGGACAGCCTGCTCTCCCTCCCAGAGGTCCCCACAGACAGCAGCACTAGACGTTTATAAAAAGCTTCCCCAAAGGAACACCCCGAGGAAGAGGAGGCACTGAGTGCTGAAGAGAGAGGGCTGTGGAGAAGGTGGTCACTCTGGAGGAAGACCTCCAGAGCAGAGCAAGGTGGTGCCAAGTCCCCATCTCCACACAGGACCCCCGAGACCACTCTCCCCTTACCTCCTCTTTTGCCATGGCGGTCATCTTGGTCATCAGCGACTGAATACGCTGCTGAAAGAGGAACAGGCAGGAGCGGCAGTGAGCAGTTCTGACCAGGTAAGACAGAAGCGATTATGCCCACATGGGTCTTTGGGTGAAGTCCAGGGGTTATTTTCCTCGATCTCATCTTACGGGGAGGCTCAAGACAGGTGAGCAAGGGAAACAGGGTGTGGGGGCCACTCATAGCAGCTGGCTGCAGGAGGCACTGGCCATTTGGGAAGTAAAATTTCTACACACATGACTTAAACAGAAACCGTAGAGGGCCTACATGGACCACACACCTCTTCAGCTGCTCGAAGCTCATCTTCTTCATGGGCATCAGCTTTTTCTGCAGCTGACAGCCCCGTGGGAAGTGCTGCTTTCTTGTCCTCAGCCTAGAAGGGAAGATGTGAAAAGAGCTGAGCACTGGAGTTGGAGACTCAATAGGGAAAGGGCAATATTGCAAAGAGGCATGAGTCTGTGAGAGGAAACACAGATCTGGAGAGCGGCACCAGCCCGAGAAAGAATGGACACTCCAGAGACCTGAGCCTTCATTTGAGATACAGAGCCGGCAGGTCCAGCTTCAGGGCCTGGCAAACACCTGTCTCCATTTGCCAACTGCTCACTGAGCTGATTAAGTTCCTATCAGGCCACACATATTTGCCAGATCTATCCTTATGCTTTGATTGGTCTTCCTCCTATTTTAACACCTTCAGAGCAGATCACTGCTAAAGGAGTGTTTTTTCAAACTGCCTATTGAGACTAACTAGTGGGACATGAAAGTAAATTAGGAGCTATGACTAGCATCAATATAAATCAAATAAAAATAATAGAATAGAACATATCAGAGTGCTTTGTAAGCAGTAAAGGGTTAAGTATTGCTTAGTGAAACTTTTGTTTTTGGGGTGTTTGTGTGTCTGTGTAGTGAGCCATGATGAAAAATAGAATTTTTACTGCTGAGAGCGATCAACAAAGTTTGAAAACCACTGTTCTGAAGGGTAAAAATCAAAACTGTTTCCTCTGGTGATCAAGCTGCATGCTCTGAACCCTCAAGCTCTGTACTATTTAATACATCAAACTCAAGATAACCTGGATTAACTGCTTTTCCTCAAATGTCTGGAGATTTAATCCTACCTCTGTCATCAACCAGCCAGGTGACCTCAGGCTTACCTCTGAACTCTGGATCACGGTCTTCTAGGGTCGAATGAAAGCTTTGGTCTCAGATGCCCTTCTTAGACCATCCCAACTCTGGGATGCTTTTCTAGAACAAGTATACCATTGCCCACGGGAACGCCATGAGCTTCTAGCTACATGGATCTTTCCAGCCACAATAAAATTGTCTTATTTCACAATATATAGACAGTCTTTTCAGACTCAAATTACATATCGAACTAAATGTACACATCAAACCATTATTTATATACCAGATGGCACATTTACATACTCAAATTCAGAAAACACCCTGCTCTGCAGGAAATGATTAGTTGAGTAAAAACACAAATGTGTAAAAAATAAATAATGAAAAGACCAAAAAAGAAGATATCATGATCAATGCATGACAAATTACCAACAAACTACTACAACTACTGATACTATTACTACCACTAGTTAACACTTATTAAATGTTTACTGTGTGTTGGACCATTCTAAGTCCTTTCCATTTTAATCCTCACAACAATGCTGTGAGGTAGGTACAGTGACTGCTCCCATTTTACAGATTCTGTGAACTAAAGTACAACGATTAAGTAAATTATTCAAAGTCACACCATCAGGGGAGGGGCTAGGATTTGAAACCAGCCAGTCTGGCTTCAGAACAATGCCCGCAGTCACAGTTGGTGCCCTCCAGAGACTGAGACAACAATGCAGGAAGCAGAGGAGGCTGGGCGAGCTGGACAGGCGAAGCATGGCAGGCAGGAGTGTGTCTGTTCCATTTAAAAAAATGTGGGAGTCGGTGGAGAATGAGAAAAGGTTAATAAGAGATCTCAATCAGCAGGAGCCTACTTTTCAAGAGGCCACCGACCACTTTAGCTGGCACTTGAGATGGGCTTTGATGTCAGACAGTCCTGGGTTCAGATTCTTATTAATGCACTTTAGGGCTGTGTGACTTTGGACAAATCACTGAGGCCCTGTGAGCTTCAGCTTTCTGATCTGAAATACAGCAGTAAGTATCCTTCTCATAGAGTTCTTCCGGAAAATAAGTGAAAAAGTACAGGCAGAGCCCTTAACAAAAGACCTGGAACAAAGTAAGGGTTTGGCACCACAGGATTTATGTGCCTATCCTGCTGCTGACAATTAAGGATGATCGATAAACACATACATTAACAAAATCTTTGAGATTCCATTGTTCAGTTAGAAACGCCCATCCTGACCTACCTGGTTCTTCCACATTTGGTGTTTCTGTAGTGGGGAAGCACGTAATTTACAGTTTTGCTCTACCTCACCGCCAGCTTCCTGTCCACACCTGTCTAGAGACTCAGATGAGGAACGCTCTGGGAGCCCTGAGAGTGGACTTCACATTCTCACTTTGGAGCTATCAGATCCCACCTGACTGAACCTGCGGTCCTGACTTCCAATCACCCCTCACTTCCAGCCCCATGATGAGACTGCTGCTTCACTCCCCGGTCTGTAGAGGCAGCAGACCAAAAAATCCAGGAGATGCAGGGGCCAAAGGCAGCTGGCACACCCCTGCCACCCCAGCCTGCCCAGAGATCAGTGCCTGGTCAGCAGCAGCAGCCCTGCCAGCCCACCCCTCCTGGGCTTCCCAGGGGGCTGCTGCCCAGACTGTGAGTATCAGACAGAGGTGAAGGGGTCACTTCCATCTCTCAAGTATTCTTTCCCATTATCTATGCTTTTCTTACCTTCTCTGTTTTGCTCTGGCGGCTAAATCCGTATCTCCTGCAGGCCACAAAAAAGAGGAGTTCAATTACAATTCAAAAATCATAATAAATTCAATCAAATGCATTTTGGTTGGATTTTTATATGAAAAGCACCAAAGAGAATTTAGGTTATTTGGTGATAGGAGAAAATGTTTTAAGTGCCTAAATCACAAACATATTCTACTGTTTTGTGAATAAAGGGCCAGTCACCATCCTTACTATGTAAATATGATAAATGGGAACTCTCAGATAATAGAGTACAATGTTTTCCTTAAGTGCAATCATTACTCTTTGAATCAGGAACCGCATTTCAGAGCCACAGTTTAAGCTAAAAGCCTTAGAAATATCTGTGTAAACAAATGTAAAAGTGTTTGCTTCAGCCAAACATGCTCTTTAGTAGCTACTTCAGTAACTTTTTATTTTCAAAGATAATCCAACCACAATGCCAATAATGTTGTACACTCACATCACAGAACCTTATTATTCAAAGAAACGCAAACACAAATGCACTTCAGTTTAAAGTAGTTTATTTTCTGGCTGCAATTAATCTATGCTTTTTTTTTTTTAAAGTAAGTATAACAATGCAAAAACCATTCAACCTAAAACAAAAAGCATAATGCAAAACACCCAGCCTCATACACCTTTAAGTAATCTGTAAAGAAATAAAATTCCATGTACCATTTAAGAAAAACAAATTAAGGGCTTTGCTCTGTCCTCGCTTGTGCGATGCCTCTCTGGCTGGTCAGTGTGCTGGCCTCTCACCTCGTCTTGGGCCTCTAGCCTCACTGCACCACTCTTCCTGCCTACTCCTTATCCAACTTCACATTGGCCTGACCTGCGTTTATCAACAGCAGCCTCTTCCCTCAGGAGAAAACAGGACCTCCTCGGCAGTCTCATCAAAGCTGCTCCTCTGTGGCCCAGCCTACAACCATTTAGCCTTACCTCCAGCAGCTCACCTTACGTGCTCTTGTTCCATCTACCACCTGAACACACAGCTCTGCACACACTGAGCCGTTCTCCTCTCTCCCCCTAATTCCCGATGTACCCCCACACCCCTCGGCTCTACAGCTGCCTTCTCTCTGAGGCACCCCCATGCACACACGCTAGGCCCTGGCCTACCCAGCCCCTGCATCTGCACATGCTCCTCTCTGTTCCCAGATGGCGACTACGTCTGACTGCCTGACTACATATCCATATCCTTCTCCTTGAGGACAATGATTCCACTTTTACATTTTGTATTTCCAGTGTTTGTTGAATGAATACACTAAACGTAAGTCAAAATAATGTGAAAATCAAGAAACCAAAAGTGTCACCTGAACTTATGATAATAGATTGTCATATAACTGTTGAGACCAAAAACTTACTGCTGGGCATAGTGCCCATCCTTTTTTAACCCTACAATGCACAGGTCTGCCCCCACCCCACAACAAAGAATTATCCAACCCAAATGTCAATAGTGTTAAGGTTAAGAAACTGTATTTTAAACCAGTGGCCTTTAATGATTTTAGTAACAACTTCATTTGCAAATAAATATTCATATATCATTAGTGACTTTTATTTTTTTTTTATTTCAGCATATTATGGGGGTACAGATGTTTAGATTACGTATGTTGCCCTTGCCCCCCCTCCCTCCCCAAGTCCGAGCTTCAAGCGTGTCCATCCCCCAGATGGTGCGCATCGCACTCATTGTGTATGCATATACCCGTCCCCTCCTCCCCACTGCCCGACATCCAATAAATGTTATTCTTATATGTGCACTTAAGTGTTGATCGGTTAATACCAATTTGATGGTGAGTACATGTGGTGCTTGTTTTTCCATTCTTGGGATACTTCACTTAGTAGAATGTGTTCCAGCTCTATCCAGGAGAATACAAGAGATGCTATATCACCATTGTTTCTTAAAGCTGAATAGTACTCCATGGTATATATATACCACATTTTATTAATCCACTCATGTATTGATGGACACTTGGGTTGTTTCCACATCTCTGCAATTGTGAATTGTGCCGCTATAAACATTTGGGTGCAGGTGTCTTTTTTATAGAGTGTCTTTTGTTCTTTTGGGTAGATGCCCAGTAATGGGATTGCTGGATCAAATGGTAATTCTACTTGTATCTCTTTAAGGTATCTCCATATTGCTTTCCACAGAGGTTGCACTAGTTTGCAGTCCCACCAGCAGTGTATGAGTGTTCACAGTGCCCATCCTTTACACATAAATCTATAGGCCCAAAGTGCAACAGACCAAGGTTACATTTTGGGTATCTGTATAAACTCTGTAAAGGGCCTTAAGGCAGATTCTGTGAATAGGCTCATTATCTACTGCATCTTCCTACACTGCAGAGGCTGAAAAGACTATTTTCCATATTCTTGCACCTAGGGTCCCGAATGCTGTTTAAGTTCCACCAATCAGATGCATTTGCTGGAGTTTTGAATGTGGAACCATTAAATAAGGAGAAAGGGAACACACGAAGGATCCATTGTGTTGGTGTGGACCACAGTAGAAGCAATCTGGTTCCAGGGCCAGCAACTCCACAGTGGCTTCCTGATTCAGACAGAAGTGGTGTGGTTCCCTTGCTAACAGCTATAGCACCAGCTTCCCAATTCCAAAGGCTGCTAGTTAGCTTCCTGATCACGGAGGCAAAGGAAGCATCCCTGGAGCTCCAGTTCTAATGTAAGGCTTGGGAGCTGACCCTGTGTCAACCCAGTACCTCTCGATCCCTGTAATCAATTCCTTCTGCTAAACTAGTAGGAGGGTACCTGTGTTCTCAACCAGGCAGGGAACCCTGACCAATACAGGGTCTTGCCAAAGTTTCCCACTTCTAGAAGTGTCCTTGCATCTTAAATATTTATCCTTACCTTTCTAGGCTCATAGCCTACAGGGACTCTTAGGGCAAAAGACATACCCTCAGGCAGAAAGCCCTTATCTAAGTCCCAGGGACTTTGTGGATTTTCTAAATAAAGCAGTAAACAACTAAATCTATGTGACTCAATTCCCAGGACCTATCTACTCCTCCTTAAAGACAGAGGCTGTGGTAGACTCTTGCCACTCAAAACTACATTAGCCCCCCAGGTGTGTGCTTCTGTGTTTATACCACCAGAGCACTCACTGCAGCGTGCACAATAACTATCTGTCATGAGTAATCCTCTAGGCTTGTTGAACTCCTGGAGAGAAGGGAATTTGCTTCATT